CGGGCAGGGCTGGGAATGGGGACTGGACAGGGTCAGACCCCCGGGCAGGGCTGGGAATGGGGACTGGACAGGGTCAGACCCCCGGGCAGGGCTGGGAATGGGGACTGGACAGGATCAGACACCCGGGCAGGGCTGGGAATGGGGACTGGACAGGCTGAGACCCTCAGGCAGGGCTGGGCACTGGTCCTGAGAGAGGCAGAATGGGATGCGGGGCAGAGGACAAGTGCTGAGGCAGAGGGGACCCCTGAGTCAGGGCAGGGGGCAGGCCCTTGGTGCTGTGCTGGCCAGTGTCTCCCGGACAAGGGGTACACCCTGGTGCCTTTGGGTTGGGGTCTGGAGCAAAACACCTCTGCATCCCTCACCTCTGCATCTCTCTGGTGTTGTAGGCACCAGCGAACCCAGCAGTGAAGGTGTCTCTGACAGAAAGTCCAAAGTGCACCTCCCTCCAAAACACAGCTTGCCCTCTAAAACCCTGGCAGAAAATTCCTATCCATGATGAAACCAAGTGACAGGAGGTAAATAAAGTCTGTGAGAAAGATGAGGCGTTGTTTTTTGAAGTTAAAATCCCTCAAGGGATGCACTGCTGGAGAGGACGGTGACAGAGGGCAGCCCCAGGAGGTCTTGGCACAGCCAGGGCTGTCAGGAACCCTGGAATGGCAGAGAATTTGCCATGGCACCACTGGGGTCAGAGAGGAACATGGAATCAAAGTGTTCCGTGAGAGCCATGGTGATGTAACACAAGTGTCAGGTGGTGACTCCTCCTCTTTGCCACCAGGACAAATTGCTGACCTTGTCCTTCAGATGATTGATACCTGGGAGAGGGAAACTTCAGACAGGGAGGGATCAAGGTTCAGAGCTCAGCTGTGGCAGGCCAGCCACACCTTTCGCTGTCTTGGACAAATGGAAGGCTTTGTTTTCAACCCCACTTGATGATTTCGTGGAACCATTCACAGAATGGTTTGGGTTGGAAGGACCTTAAAGATCACCTAGTCCCAAGCTTTTGGCCATGGGCAGAACCACCTTCCATTAGAACAATTTGCTCAAGTGCCCATGCAACCTGGCCTGGAACAATTCCAGGGATGGAAATTTTAGCACACTGCTCTTGTGGGTTTTGTCCCACTGCTTTTATTGAAGGACTAGACTGAGACTTCACAGCTTTCATATTTGGAAAGGGTCTCCTAATTTCCAGACTAAATTTATTTATAGGCAAATTATATTTGTTGCGCTTGTGCCTAGTTTGCTCACTAGCTCTTCTTACATCTGAGCTGATTGATGTTATCTGCTTTTATTTATCAGTTCATCTGCTGATGGAAATTATTCATGCAAAAGAAGGTTCCCATGCCATAAGAGAGGTTATTTTAACCTCTTTGAAAGACCTAAATAATTATTCCTGATCTGAATGTGATCAAGCACTGGGCTTATTGAATAACAGCATCATTTATTCATAAGGGGATATTTATGCCTTCAGTGTAAATACTATTTTGAAATTGTTTTTTATGAAGAACCATTAGAAGCGCTTATCATGTTTTTCATGTTTTGCTCCTGTTTTTGTAAGGCCCATGGCAACAAGAGGGGGTAGGTGAGCTCAAAGATTGTGATGTGAAACTATTTTAAAGGAGAGGAGTGAACCACTGTTCACTCAAAATGGTCAAATTGCTCATGTAGCTACTGATGCCAGGCATAGAAAACACAGGATGAGAAGGGGATGAGGGAAGGGGAGATAGATATTAGAACTGCTGCTGGTTTTCAATTCTAGTTATTCTAGTTATTTGAGCAAAACGTCATCCAACGATCTATGTAGGCTTAGGAAAACATCATCTTCAAATCTGGTTGGAAGATCTAAGGTTCCCTTGGTAGCTTTGTGATACTAAAATCCTTGGTTTCTTCAATTAAATTAACATTTTAAGTGTGTTTAAGCTGTTAGTGCTTCTTAAAAAAGCAATCTTTTTCCCTTCCTCTCCTCCCTCCCTCCCTCTCCTGCCATCCCATCCGCCCACTCACGCGCTTGTGCTGGGAGCAGAGCAGGAGCCTGGCACTGACCGTGCCAGAGCTCCCCATCCTCTTGGGGAGAGCTCATCCCAGACAGCCCTGCCAGCCCTGCACAGGACTCTGTTCCTTACCCTGCTTGCTGGTACCCTTGCAAAGGCTTTTGGATAAAAGATGCAGCTGTTTGTCCGAGGAGACAAGGAAAAAGGCACACAGAGTCATGGAATCATAGAATTGTTTAGGCTGGAAAAGCCGTCTAAGATCATCAATCCCCCTGTTCCCCCAGCACTGCCAAGGTCACCACTGCAAGTGCCACATCCTCACAGCTTTTAAACCCCTCTAGGGATGGTAATTCCACCACTGGCCAACCTGTTCCAGTGTTTTATTACCCTTTATGTGAAGAAATTGTTCCTGATATGCAATCCAAACCTCCCTGGCACATCTTGAGGCTGCTTCCCTTGTTCCCTGGGAGAAGACCTCGACCCCCACCTGGCTCCAACCTCATTTCAGGGAGTTGTAGAGTTTGAGAAAGTCCCCTCTGAGACTCCTTTTCTCCAGTCTGAGCCCCCCCATCCCTCAACCTCAGGCATGTGCTCCAGACCTTTTCCCTGCTCTGCCGCCCTTCTCTGAACACACCTCAGCCCCTCAATGTCTTCCTTGTCACGAGAGGCCCAGAAATGCACACAGGATTCGAGGTGTGGCTTCATCAGCACTGAGCTGACAATCACTGCCCTCATCCTGCTGGCCACACTGCATGGTCATAACATACAGAGCATTTGAGCTGCACACAAAAGCAGGCTGAAGAGTTCTGTCTCCATAAGAATAATATCAGGAGGCCTTCAGTGGCACCAAATGATGGCATTGAAAAGCATTAAAAAGCCCA